AGTATACATTGTATAATATTTTATAAAAAGGTATACTGACAAAGTAATACCGTTTTACCAAATGTAATACAATTACCTTTATACAGCTTTATACAATTGCTTGTATACCTCTGTATACAAACTTACTGTCGATGTTTTTTCACCCGGGTCTTGACAAGCAGTTAAAGCATGAAAACGCACCATTATATTGGATGAGCCTCATGAATAAAGCCTTTGCTGGCAAATCACCAACAGCAGCAACCACTCTTCCCTTCACTCTAATCAACAAAGCATTTGGTAACTTCACATCCACACCTTGGGTTTGGAGAGATTCCATTTTATCCCACAAAGGTTTCAAAAACAGAACAACAAAACAAAACAGAACTTTAGTTCATTGATGGATAGGAACACAGGCCAAATAGAAAATTTACCACTTTTGTAAAGAGAAACACCATCAAAATACATAGTAAAACTTATGTTGTTATGATTAGAAAGAAATCCCTCTTGCTGCAACTCACTGTAGATCTGACCGTCATAGATATCCTCAATATTGTTCAAATTCCTTTTAACACGATTAAATTTAAATTGAAGTGATTCATAAAAACCTTGCCTTTTGAACAAACTTTAAAGTTGTTTTTCCAATGAGAATTCTATAAAATACTGTATTTGGTTCTTCTCATTTTCATTCCTTTCTGGATCATCAACATCATTGTCATTCTCTGCAGCATTGTTACGAGCTAAACAAGGAGCGCAAACCGAATCTTTTGATGGTACAGGTGTTTCACAGATAGAGCAGTAGTAGTGGCGTTTGATGTGATCCTGACCAAACATCGAAAAATATTTTTTAAACAAGAAAATTGACTTAAAACAAAGATTGTTGTTTTGCCCACAATGCAAAGAAATTAGAGCCAGTAAATCATTGATGCAAACACCAGACAACTTATGTGAAAGGGCAAATGACAAAATAGAAAGGGCACTTTCCTTCAAAGTTATTTGGGCTCCATCGTATAGCAGCTGATTGTCATTTACATCAAAGTTTTCTTCTTCATCTTCTTCATCTTCATCATCTTCTTCAAAATTATCAGAGTTTTCTCCCCCAGATTCTAGCTCTGCCTCATCATCCCTTTCCCCATCTCCCTCTTCTCTCTCATCACCCTGTTGCTGCTCTTGCTCTTCCTCCTCTTCCTGTTCTTCCTCTTCTTCCTCCTCCTCCCTCTCTTCATCTTCCTCCCTTAGCTGCTCCTCTCTCTCTCCTGTAACCAAAACAATACAATGTTATTTTCAGTGAGAGTGACACTTAGGGAAAATAGAAGGCACTTTTATGCAAAAATTACCATCAGAACCACTTAGATCATTATTTGCATTCTGACCATCACAATTGTTTCCATCTCCTGTGCAAAGAAAATGAAGAGTTTTAAAATAGAAATTAATACTACTACAAAATGTGAATAAACTGTGTACAACAACGATTGACAGAAATGAAGCTCTGACTTCTTGACTACACACCACTACTGCTTACGTTCAAACTGGAGTGGAGCAGGTGGATCTGGTTCACTACCATCACAACTGAGTCCACCTTCCGAGTCATCTGCATGAGAGGATCGGCCACTTGCAGAGTTATCAGCTTCTACACATGTTCTCTTGGGAGGCTCTGCAACAAGATTGACAAATAAAGATCAAAACCTAAAACACAATCGTTTTTTAGATGGGTAGGGGTTCATAAGATTTTGAAGAACACGTTCTTGAAGACTAAAACATTTTAGTAGCAGTTTTGGCTCCATTTCACGCAAAACATGTACTAAATGCAAATAAAGTAGCTACTTTATTTCTTAACATATTTTAGAAGGCAATCTTACCAGGTTCCGAACCAGATGAACTTGCGGACTGCCGACGTTGAAAAGTTTTATCTCTCACTCGTTTTCTGTATCTTTTGGTGTCTTTCCTCTGAAGGACAAGTTGCTCATTTTCACTTTGAGAATCTGACATTTTGGTTAATTGATAAAATAACACACACGCCTGCCCAACAAGCCACTCAAATTTTAAAAAGTTATCACAGACAGTCATCACAAGACATCATAAACTTAAAATTGAATCACAGACTCATATCACATACAAGAAAACCTAACCTCGCCACGGGCACAGCTGGGCTGGGGCGAGGGGAGGCGCGAGGGGAGGGGAGGGGAGGGGAGGGGAGAGGAGGGGAGTGCGAGTGGCGAGAGAAGATACGGTCCGTCAAACCTAACGGTGCATCTGACCACAATGACCGTGTTCGGACAACCCAGACAACACGAATAATCCTAGGCGAGACCGACTTTGTGATAGTCATGTGATTGTAACAGCCAATGGTAATACGCGATGTTGGCGGGATAGATGGGTAGCTAATATAAGGTGCTTGTGCACTCACGGCACTAGTCGCCATCTTGGACTCGATCAGCTGTTGTTCAGAGGAGTTCGTCATCGTCAAGCCGGCCTAGTGCAGCTTTGTGGGTTAGCAGCTGCCAGCCCTTGTATTTGCCGGTCGGTACGTTTCGCTCACGATACTCACACTCACGATGTCGTCGTGTCGAAATGTGAAAGTGGTGTTGTACTGGACGGATGAGAACAGAGTGGGCATCGAGCCTCTCAAGTCGGTCCCCGAACCTTATCGCGTTGTCGGAGCAAAAACAATAGTGAGATTCAGCGGTGACGGACGATGGTACCCGGCCAAAGTTCTTCTAATATCTGGTGAGTACAACTTAACGCCATTCGTACCATTCGATGCTGAGTGTGTTTGCGACTGTAGAACATGCTGAAAGTGTCCTGTGTCATAACCTCAACAACTGTTGTGTTGAGTGTAAGTAAAGTATTCCCGTGCTGCGTAGTTTAGTGTGTGTGCCCTAACCTCAACAAATGTGAGTGCTCTCAGATAATGACGATGCTTTGGACACAAAGCTTTGAGAAATGGAGGTTATCATTTCGGATGCCATGAAGCAACAGAGGCGGCAGCCTAAGTGTTCTGATAGTGCGCCACCAAAATCTACGAGAAGGAAACGTAAATCAGGATGTGCTGGCACTGCATCAGAGAGAGAGATTGCTGCTGCATTGGGGAGTCCACTTCCCGTTCCAGCTGAGCTCAAGGCCGCAAAATCTGCTGCAGCACTTGCAAGGAAAAGAAGTTTGCAATGTCATGTGGCTGGGCAGTCACAACTTGACAAAGAAGTAGCAAGTGCTGTTAAGAAGGCATCACTTGAGACTTGCTCGACTGACTCGGGTAATTAAAAGTTGTATGCTTAAGTGCTCTGATGCTGTGTGGTAAATTTTGTTCCTACATTTTTTGTTTTGCTATTTTGTATGACATAATGACAGTGCCACCTCAGAATGTGGTGAAGGCGAAGACGACGAGCATGACATCAGCAATAAGGAAGTTAACGGTGATGGCGAAGTTGAGGGCAATGGTTGTGCATGTCCTGTCAGCCAATTCGTCCACAAGCATGGTAAGTGACTACATTCTTCTGCTGGTGTTACCTTTCATAACTTTTATTTGCACTAATTGTTTTTACCTTTTTCTCTGTTTTAGTTACCACAACAACTCTTGAACTTTTGAGGGTTCTCACTTTTTTACTCGAGAACAAAGGCAACGTAAATGACACAAAGTACCTTGTTCTGCTTCCAATTTCAGATAAAGTTAAAAAGGTACTGCGAGCAATGCTTTTATGTTGAGTAATTGATAATTTGTACATCTTATTAATTTGAAAACCATATCTTGATTACAGGTAGAGTTATCTTCTGGCAAGGGAGTTTTTATTGCTCAATCCGATAAAGATTCACTGAAAGTTGATTGGAAGAACAAGACCTCTTCACTTATCAGAGAAACTCTGTACTGTTTGTACGGGAAGTCTGCTTTTCACTCTTTCAATGTGACCGCCAGAGGACTCAAACCTGGAACTTATGGCATTGAAGAAAATGTTTTAAAAGCTCTTAATAGTGAGTACATTAAGTATTTTTGACTTTTCTATCTTTTCTATCTCTTAAGATCTACTTCAATTCTTCAGGCTTTGTCAACAACAATGTCGACCCTCAGAAACGCATGAAGTTTAGTGATGTGGTTCAGACAATCAATAAGAGAGCTCCTGAGTGGAGAGCAAAGGCTCCTGTCTGTCCCTCCACAGAGAAGAAGAAGAAGGCTGAGAAGACGCGTAAGGTGAGATTTCTAATAACATTTTATACATTACTGTTCTCAGTGTGCAAGATATTTTCAGTTAGCACTAATTTTAAAGCAGTATTATTTATTTTAATGTTGCCTTAATATTTTGGTTGCATTATTTTGCATTTGTGAGTGACCGTTAATTCAAAACTGGCTATTTTTTTTTTCTAAACAAATATTGTTTGTTTTTTTTGCAGGTGGTTACAAGGTCACCCAAGCGTTTAAGAGTTGATAGTGCGTCAGACAAATCAGCTGGTGATGAAGACTTCGATCTTAGTGATACTGGCGTTTTCCCTTTGCCACCTGTAACTCCAAACAAAGCACCATCTTCTGGGAAGAGCCCATCAAGTTGCGAAGTTTGGGCACCTGGTCCAATTGGTCCCTCTCTTTCCACTGAACCCAACCACAGCAATCAATGGAACCAGGAGTACTACTCATCTTGGCAGGCCTGGCAATCATGGAACTGGCAGCAGCAACAGCAGCAGCCACAACAGCAGCAGCTAAGTAGTAATGACTACCCTACTTACCAAAATTTACCTTGATTCTTTCTCAGTATTCATACATTCAGTGCATAAATACTGATATTGTTCTGTACACATTCTAATCGAATTATGCAGTGTTAGTACTCATAACATGTTTATGATTACCAAATACTTAAATGAATGTGTTTTAAGTCTTTATGATGTAGTTCCTTACTTCTCATTGTATTATGAGTAGTACTTGACTTGGGTTTCTTACTGATCTCTGAACAAACTTTTATTCTTTTAATGATTATGCATTGCATTGGCAGTCTTTCTGTAGTATTTGAATATAGTAATTCTAGTAACTGAGGGTGATAGTAAAATAGGATAAGAAATGATCTCATAACAACAAATGGTTTTGTTAATTTTCATTGAATTTTAT